GGAATACCAGTTGTCATGTACAAAATACTGAGTTATTTCTAAAAATGTTGGCTTTTCTCAACTTTTTCTCAAAATTCTGACTTTCTCTCAAAATAAAAAAATTCTCACTTTTTTCTCAAAATCTCTAAATTCTTACTTTCTAAAAATTCTCACTTTTTCTCAAAATCTGGACTTTTCCCAATATCTCAAAATGCTCACTTTTTCTAAAAAAACTCAAAATTCTCACTTTTTCTAAAAATCGCAAAATTCTCACTTTTTCTAAAAATCTCAAAAATCTCACTTTTTCTGAATACTTCAAAAATGTTAATAATCCCTGGTCCCCAGCTTGAGCTTGAATCTCAGGATCCATGTATCTGTGATCCTCTCCAGAATGGAAGGAGTCATCACATACAGAGCATCAACTAGTTCCTGAACAGTGTCCTTCACATGCTGATATCCAAGAGAGGGAGTTCCACAGTCACAAGATGGAGGAATAGAAAGCAGTATTCAATGTTTACTTCAGATTAGCTCCACGTCAGAAATGATCATGCTTGTCATATGTCTCTCTCCATAGAGGCTGAATCATCATGTTAATCACATAGCTATCATATGCCTCAAACAGTCCTGATGCTCTTCTAGGTAATCACACATCCTGTCATGTTCACAGCTACAGTTGGGATACCTTTGTTATCATGTGGCTCTCATATTGGTAGAGGACATTCACTATTTTCCCAACAATTAGACATGTAATACATACATGAATACTGTCGACAATACCCACAGGAGCAATTTAGGGTGAAGTGTTCCCAAGAACGACCATGTTGACTGCAGTGTCGAAAATGTTGAATGAAATACAGAGAAATATCTACTTATACTAAACTAAATAGGGCCTCTCTAAAGAGCCGGTACAAAGCAGTTTTTTAAAGCTGTGCTCATTTGATATTTTATTTACTATTTCAATCATAGGAAACACGCTCATCATCAATGTGTTTGTTGTTGTTGCAAACACATACCAGTGTAAAATGTTTAATCTAACACCAGCTTCCTCAACCAGGAATGAAGCTAAAAACCTAAGAAATGTGTCTGCCAGTAAAAAAATACATTCACCTTTTTAGTCGAGTCCATCGATACGTGGAAGAAAAGGCGAGGAATGGGAACATCTCAGCCAATGTACCCAACGAAAGCTTCTCATTCCTGCAAAAAACATTGTCCAGTTTCCTTTTGTGAGCCCTCATAATGATTGCCATTCTCATTCAACAGATATCTTTTCCTTTCCCGCTGTCTTTTGTCTGACTTGTCAAACAGGATTATAGAAAAATTCCTGGACCAAATAAGAATGAAGTTGCAGTACGGTTACACTTATTATCCCTCTACCATGGAAACCAGTTGACATGAGGTGTTTCTTTCTAGTTATAAATGTAATCCATGTGTAGGAACAAAAACAATTGGCAGTTGTTATGCTCAGCAAGCCAGTGCGAAGGAGCGTCCAATCAACAGCATTTTCTGTAATTGCACCGTGTGGATTTTTTTAAGGGTGTTATATTCCACAGCCCACATTCGTCTCCAACAGGCTCTTCTGTGGTTTTGAGCCTTGTGTGCACGGGTTGAATATCAGCCTGAGGGAGGAGAAGAAGAAGAAGAAGCCGTAGACATATGGGCATCAGTTATGTTGCCATGCTGCTGCCAGATGCGTGTTGTGAGTCTCCGTGATGGGAATGAGTTTCCTGAGGCACTACCTGTCAGGAATACTTCATAAGAGGCCGTGTGGTTTTTCCGCCTGTTATGGCGACGTCAATGCACGCAGAATATCAATATTTGGTTGTAGTATTTGGGATGTTTTATTGATATTCTTTCAATAGATTGCTGCAGATATGATGTATTTTTTTAGGCTCTCTTTACAAACTGATACTTACACGTGTTGTTCAGCACCTTCACATATTAACATGGCTTTATGGTTTTTGAAGTAAAAAGCTAATGTTGGGCTATAAAGGAACTACAGCACGGTCACATGACTTCACGTCACCACCGCTAAGCTAAAGGTGGCTAATGTTTGGCGTGATAACGTTTAATCATCTCATTTAGACACTTCTTAGTGACTACCGTTTTTAAATCCATCAGTGGGGTATTTCTACAACCTATTTCATGTCGTAGAATAAAAATCTCAGCTTGTGTTGTGTCTCTGATTTTTTTTTTTTTGCCTTAAGTACATTCTATACTGGAGGGACTTCAAATAGTCGTTGCCAAAAACGAATTTAATGCAAATGACTATAAATCTTCCACTTTGTGTCTCTGTGAGGATCTCCGGTCTCACCCTCTTCTCGTGGTTGGGGATGATGCAGCGGACGAAGTTTGGGTTGGTGTTCCTCAGCGTGGCCATGAGCTTGGACAGCTGCTCCTTGTACAGCTGACCCACGGTCCGGAACATCCCCTTCTTGGTCTTATAGGCGGCACCGAACGCCGTCTCGTTCATCCCCGAAACCTGGTCCAGACCCACGATCCGGTCCACTGGAGAGGGGAGAAACAGATCAGTGCAGTTTGATGAGGCTGGTCCACTGATACATGTGAAGGAATGTATCAATGCAAAGTGATATTTACATGAATGTAGAAAATATGCAATATCCAAATCGCAGTACTGTTTGGTTTCATCAGCACCAACAAAGAAAATGGGCGAAAACTCAAATAAAATGATAAGAAAACATATTTTTGTTTCTTAGATGGAAACAATAACGCTAAAACTTAACAGGCTAAAGTTGGGAATCGTAGTCTTTAATCTTCTATGGACTACAGAGGTCTCCATTTTATTTATTCATAAAAAAGCACTTTTAAGGTACTACTTCTAACACTGTTTATTTTTGCACGCTGCTGCCTTTCATTGAAGTTGTTGGAATAACTAAAAGAGGCGATATTTTATAGTAGGATGAGATGTGTTGGTTTTTACAGCCATGCAAAGCCATACGGAGAGGTTTGTTTTTTCGATGTTTGCACAGTGCAGCCAGGACAGCACAGAGGATGAGGAGAAGAGTTATTTAAAATCACCTGGAGCTTCCTGGAGCCCCGACACATTGTCATAGAAAGAAGCTCTCTGAAACGTCTGAATGTCTGCAGCAGCAGAGACGCACAGAGAGAGAGAGGAAACACACACACACACACACACACACACACACACACACACACGCACACTCTCTATCTCACACGGACACACACTGTTTCTCACACACACACACACACACACACACACGCACACCCTCTCTCTCACACGCACACACACTCTTTCTCACACACACACACACACACACACACACACACACACACACACACACACACACACACACACACACACACACACACACACACACACACACACACACACACAAGAGAGAGGGGAAACACACACACACAAACACACACACACACACACACAGACACACACAAACAGACACACACTCTTACTCTCTCACACACATACACA